ACTTGAACCCAGGAGGTGGAGGTTGTAGTGAGCCAAGATTGCACCACTGCACTCAAGCTTGGGCAACAGGGCAAAAACACTCTGTCTAAAAAAAATAAAAGGAAAGTAAAACATTAGGGAAAAAGAAGTCTGTATTTTTAGGAGATCCAAAAATGTTGAGTAATTTATCTTAGTGGGGCAGGATTTATCTTAAAGAAAATTCACATTAAAAAAAAAAAAAGAAGAGGAATAAAAAGACTCATGTAAGTAGCCATTCTCCTAGAGAAGCTAGGAGTGAGCAGAGAAACTGGTATTTCAGCACAACCAGTAAGGATCCAGTTCTTTCAGGCTCTGTGGAAGTCTCCAGCTGGGTAGCTTTTCAGGCATCAAATATGCATACACCTATGTATGCATAAATGCATATACAGTTTCCATTAGATGTGTGTATGTGTACACGTATGTACGCACATTTATGCAGGTTCACAATTGGGGTACAGAGTACAGGCAAGAAAACTCTGCCTACATAATCTGAAGAAACTAGACATTCATGAGAAGTCCATTTGTGAAATGTATTACTAATAACATTAGAAAGAAGCTACAGAGGAAGGGCTCTCACCTTAGCTCTTTTCCTGGCATGACCATGGTTGGATGTCCGCCTCTGTTAGAAGGGAATTGGAAAATATTAAGGTGGAAGAAAATCAACATGTAAGTTAAAAACAATACATGTTTATGAAGAAAATGCACTAACTGTAAAAACCATTACAGTAACAGCCAAACTATGATGAGGACCACATGATATTGGTTTCTCCCTACAACCTACACCTCTAACAACTGTGACATGAAAGGGACTACAGGCCATCTATAGTCAAATAACCATTCACCATTAAGTTAAAGAATCAGAAGATGATCTAAAGGTCCCTGGTTCGATCCCAGGTTAAACAAAAAAGAGGGAAAAGAAAAAAAAAAAAAAAAAGAATCAGAAGATGGTCAGATGTGGTGGCTCATGCCTGTAATCCCAGCACTTTGGGAGGCCAAGGTAGGTGGATCACTTGAGCTCAGGAGTCTGAGATCAGCCTGGGCAACAAGGCAAAATCCCGTCTCTACAAAAAGAAAAAAAAAAAAATTAGCCAGGTGTGGTGGCATGCACCTATAGTCCCAGGTACCTGAGGGGCTGAGGTGTGAGGATGGCTTGAGCCTGGGAAGCAGAGTTTGCAGTGAGCTGAGATCGTGCAACTGCACTCCAGCCTGGGTGACAGAGCCAGACCCTGTCTCAAAAACAAAACAAAAACCATTAAAAAAAAGAGTTGGAAGACACTGATTTTGTTGGCCTATTTCACAGACTGATAAAAGTTACTTTTGGACAAGCCATGGTATCCTGTCCTAGGATGCTTCTGGAAGCATCACTACCATAGCATGAAAGAGTGTTTTTTTCCCAAGCCTGTTCACAGAAGCCTATTTAATCCATAATAGATATGAAATATGGTTCCTAACCATCACTTATGATAACATCTTTACAGGACAACACACACATTCATAGTTCCAACTTGAGATACCCAAAATATCTGTTCCTATAGCTGCAGAAATGGAATGAAGAGTCTTCTTCCCAAATGCCTCCCTCCCTGAGTATCCGGATACAAAGAAGGAAGCATAAAAGATAGAGATAAGACCTCCAGAGCAAAGCGGAGATAGTGGATAAGGGGCAGGATAGAAGCTGAGGAAGATAAAGAATGAGGGCCTAAGGTGGGATGAGGGAAGGAAGAGCTAATTAATTAATAAGATTTGTAAACATCTGAGAAGTCAAAATCAGGGCTTTTGGGAAGAGGATGGATAGGGTTATACATGGGGATGAGGCACTTAGGAGTTGTGAGATGTTTGGAATGGAACTCATTGATAACTGGGGCATAGAGGGAACTGAGGCAGGAGGATAGGGGAGGGGAAACAAGTCAGAGGCAGAGTACCAGCATGGCCTTGGGTAGGTGAGGATTTCTCTTTTCTTGTTCTTCTTCACTAGTTAGCAAATAACACGGCCACAATGCAAAATGGAGAACTGAGAAGGTGGATGGAAAGAATAAGAAATGATGGTGGATCTGCTCAGTGGCAAGATCTACTGCAGTAGGGGAACACTCATAGTCCAGAAACATGAAGCAGCATTTGTCACTACTTTTTCAATTAGGTAATACATACACAAGGCACAAACATTAAAAAGGCATAATGGGGGCATATACAGAACAATAAGTTTTTCACAACTGTCCCCCAGATACTTGGTTCTCTCCTAAATGGTCAACCAGTACTGAAGTTCTTTTGGATATATCCAGGTATCTTTTATGCATATATAAGCTTAGTGTATGTGTACACACAGGTTTTTTAAAAACCAAATATACCGGCTGGGCATGGTGGCTCACACCTGTAATCCTAGCACTTTGAGAGGCTAAGGTGGGCAGATAACCTGAAGTCAAGAGTTCAAGATTGGCATGGCCAAAATGGTGAAACCCTGTCTTTATTTAAAAAATACCAAAGTTAGCCGGATGTAGTGGTGGGCACCTGTAATCCCAGCTACTTGGGAGGCTAAGGCAGGAGAATAGCTTGAACCTGGGAGGCAGAGGTTGCAGTGAGCCGAGGTTGTGCCGCTGCACTCCAGCCTGAGTGACAGAGTGAGGATCCATTTCAAAAAATAAATAAATAAAAATAAAATGAAATATAAATTTTTTTTTAAAGCCCAAATATATTGTACCTACTACTGAGAACCTTGTTTTTAAACTTTTTTTCCATGGGTGTCATTCTAAGGAAGATGTACCCTTTTTTTTTCCTTTTCCTTTTTTTTTTTTCCAGATTTACCCCATTTTTAATGGCTACATAGACTATACCATAACTTATTTTACCAGTCTATAATGTTTCTGACCTTTTGCTAGTATAAACAATGACCATATCATTGAATATATATAAAAATAGTATATCTGTAGTCCATTTATAAGTTTTTTATAAAGTATTGCTAAATTGCCCCTCAAGGTACCAATTTAGACTTTTACCAACAATATATGAATGAATCTGCTTATTTCCCAGAATGGATAGTTTTAACAGTGAAACATATATTAAAAGCCTAATATACACCATGTTATCATGCTAGCTACTGGAGGATACGGAGATAAAAGGCACAAACCTTGTCAAAAAGGAACTCATAATCCTGTTGGAGAAGACAGACAAATAGACAATTACAATACAGTACATTAAGTGTATTAGAGAGGTACTCATGGAGTGCAACAGAAGCAAACAGCAGAAGCGTCTAATTCAGATCTAGCAACCCATAGATTCATACATTTACAGATATTGAGTGCCTCCTATGTTGTTCAAGGCACTGTATTAGGCCTTAGGGATACAATGGTGAGCCAAAACCGATCTAATCCTGGGCCTCATAGAGTTTATAGATCTGTGAGGAAGACAGACATTAATCAAAGAATTACAGACTTCCAAAAGGTGAGCAAGGTTTTCAAAAAAGGCTTCCTACAGAAAGACATCATCTGGGTTGAGTTTTAAAGGATAAATAGGCATTAGACAGTTGCTGGTAGGAGTGGAAGTTGGAGGAAGCCAGGATAAGAACACTAAGGTGGGCATTTCCAGGCAGAGAAAGCATGTACAAAAGCTTTCCCCAAACTTTCAGCTCCTATTTATAACAGGGACCAAGGAATCAGATAATGCTGATGCATTGGATGTCAGAGGTGAAGGCTGACATGCAGAGACTAGGTCCCAATATACCATGCTGAGAAATCTTACACTTGGCTTAGAGCAGTAAGACACACAGAATGTTTGAAGAGAGTTAACACAGGCAGCTCTTTATTTCCCAACCATCTTTCTAAAACAATATGGTAAATTTATCAAAAGGGATTACAAGTTTAAAGGCAAAAAGCCCAACCAGGAGGCCATACCACATTGGCTATTTAAAGGATGTTCCTGGCTGGACACGCTGGCTCATGCCTGTAATCCCAGCACTTTGGGAGGCCGAGGCAGGTGGATCACCTGAGATAAGGATATCAAGACCAGCCTGGCTAACATGCTGAAGCTCTGTCTCTACTAAAAATACAAAAATTAGCCGGGCGTGGTGGTGGATGCCTATAGTCCCAGCTGCTTGGGAGGCTGAGGCAGGAGAATTGCTTGAACCTGGGAGGCAGAGGTTGCAGTGAGCCAAGATTGTGCCAAAGTCTGGGGGACAGAACAAGACTCTTAAGAAGAAAAAAAAAGGACACACCTAAATTCAGTATGTGTTGAGGACTTGCCCATTCTAAATAGAATCTCAGAATTTACATTTTATAGCATTGTTTCCATGCAAAAGATGTTCTGAGTTTCACTTGCTGATCCCAAGGATATATCTCACATATTATATGTAATGAACGTCCCCTTTCCCCAAACTTTTCAGTTCCAATTCATAACAAGGACTTCTATGAAAAGACCACTTAGATTCTTGCAGAGACGTCCAGGGTGTGAAAGTGGGGAAGGCTGGAGAAGCAGAAATGTTCTTTATTATCAGACAGAGTCTCACTCTGTCACCCAGCCTGGAGTGCAGTGGCGCAATCTCAGCTCACTGCAACCTCTGCCTCCCAGGTTGAAGTGATTCTCCTGCTTCAACCTCCCGAGTAGCTGGAATTACAGGGACATGCCACATGCCCGGCTCAGAGCAGAATTTTTGTGCTGATGAAGGTGTAATTGCTATGTTGGGAAATGGACAGAGAGTAGAGTGCTTTTTTTTTTTTTTCCGAGACAGAGTCTTATTCTATCACCCAGGCTGGAGTGCAGCAGTGCGATCTCAGCTCACTGAAACCTCCACCAGGTTCAAGCAATTCTCCTGCCTCAGCCTCCTGAGTAGCTGGGATTATAGGTACCTGCCACTGTACTTGGCTATTTTTTGTATTTTTAGTAGAGACAGGGTTTCACCATTTTGGCTAGGCTGGTCTTGAACTTCTGACCTTGTGATCCGCCTGCCTCGGCCTCCCAAAGTGCTGGCATTACAGGCATGAGCCACTTCACCTGGCCGAGTGTAGAGTGCTTTTTAAGGTACTGGATCCAGGGTGGCTGAGAAGACTGAACACTTTGCGGAAGAAACGTGAACTCCAGTAGATGGCAGCAGCAGCTTCACCTGCTCTACCAGCAGCAAAAGGAGTCAAGTCAGAGGGGAGGCAGGTCCCCTCTAAACCCCTGCTCATTGTATTTGTATTTCCAGGTGAAGACTTTTTTTTTTTGAGACAGAGTCTTGCTCTGTCACCTAGGCTGGAGTGCAGTGGCGTGATCTCCACTCACCGCAACCTCCGCCTCCCAGATTCAAGCATGTTTCCTGCCTCAGCCTCCCGAGTAGCTGGGACTACAGGCACACGCCACCATGCCAGGCTAATTTTTTGTATTTTTAGTAGAGACAGGGTTTCACCATGTTGGCCAGGCCGGTCTCGAACTCCTGACTTCAAGTGATCCGCCCACCCAGGCATCCCAAAGTGCTGGGATTACAGGCATGAGCTATTGTGCCTGGCCTGAAGACCTTTTTTAAAATTTTTTTTTTGAGATGGAGTCTTGCTCTGTCGCTGAGGCTGAAGAGCATTGGCGTGATCTTGGCTCATTGCAACCTCTGCCTCCTGGGTTCAAGCAGTTCTCCTGCCTCAGCCTCCTGAGTAGCTGGGACTACAAGTGACTGCCAACACGCTCAGCTAATTTTTGTGTTTTTAGTAGAGATGGGTTTAACCATGTTGTCAGCATGGTCTTGATCTCTTGACCTCATGATCTGCCTGCCTCAGCCTCCCCAAGTGCTGGTATTACAGGCGTGAGCCACCATGCCCAGCCCTGAAGACATTTTTAAACCAAGTGAGTGTCCATAAAGGGTATAAAACCCACAGATGGGCTGGGCGCGGTGCCTTATGCCTGTAATCCCAGCACTTTTACAGGCTGAGGTGGGTGGATCACCTGAGGTCAGGAGTGAGTTCAAGACCAGCCTGGCCAACATGGTGAAACTCCACCTCTACTAAAAATACAAAAAATTAGCTGGGCGTGGTGGTGGGCACCTGTAATCCCAGCTACTTAGGAGGCTGAGGCAGGAGGATCGCTTTGAGTTCCGGAAGTGAGGTTGTAGTGAGCCAAAATCGTGCCATTGCACTCCAGCCTGGGCAATAGGAGCAAAACTCCATCTCAAAACACAAAAACAAAAACAAACAAACAAAAAAACAACATATAGATGTCCCTTCTTTTCTGCCTAGTTTCAAGAGGTACACAAAACAGGAATTCAGAACACCATTTATAATTGTCTCCTAAGAATAGAATAACTTAGACCCAAAAGTTCATTTAATTATTATCTTTCATGTGACATGACAGCACATAATGAAACATTCATCAATTATCTGTCCTGAATATTTAAAATTCATTATTTGTATCAGTGGAGGCTGGAAGTACAGCTGGAACAGTGGCAGAATGTCTCCACAAACTCTGGAAGGATGGGCAGGGAATGACAACTCACATATAATAATGGAAAGAAAAACAGCCAGGGAAGAGACTGGTGGATTGTAAGAGGAAAAAACAGTAGAAAAGCAGGCAGCCAGAGAACAACATATCTCAGAGAGTTGTCTAATTTAAATTCATTACTTTATATTGGTGCTGTTTTAATCTTTAAAGAAGACAAGCCTTATGTGAATTGAATTGTCTAGAAAAATTATGCTTCAAGTTTCTAGACCCTCTAAAATGTTGTTGTTCCTGCTTTTTAATCTAACCTCTTGCTAGTGTTAATGGTCTGTCTCTTGACTTATAATAAAATCAGTTTTCACCCCTGGGCATCAAGGAAAGGATTTACAGGGCTTGAGTAACAGAAGAAACCAGCAGTGACCACAGAAGAAGGACTCTAACAGGTAGATAAGAAAAGGCTCAGAGTTTGGGCTGGCCAGGCAGAAACCAAAGAAGAACTTCTGGAGGAAGTTTGGCTGACTATCTACTACCATTATTTCTGTACTACAGTATGAATTTGGATGAAAAACAACAATTTGGCAAACAAAGAGTGAAATTCCTTTTACTCACATTTACTAAGTGGCAAGTTCAGAGGCTATTTCTGACCCAGAAAATGCTGACTGCTTTAACACAACCAGGATATGAATTTAACAGTGTGGGTAAAGCCAGGAAGCTTAAGTTTTATAAGTGTATTGTATGAATCATTTTATGACTTGTTAAATATGTGTTTGTATACAGTTTATTTTTTGGTATTAATTACCAAAAAAAGTCAAAATGTAGCAAGAACCAGTGAACTCAGACCCAAATGGATTAGGGATTTTACTGTCCTGTTAGGTTTCACTGTGGACTATATGACAAAAGGGGTGGTAAACAGGATATCCAAAAAATAAAAATAAAAAAAGACAAAAGGGGAAGATTTTTTTTTGAGAGCTGAAGTTGGAGTTTTTAAAGAGAATAAGTGTTTGTAAAAATGACTGGTTCTTACACATTTCCACTTTTATTCAGGTATAAAGAATGTTGGCTGAGCACAGTGGCTCACACCAGTAATCCCAGCATTTTGAGAGGGAAAGGCAGGAGAATCATTTGAGGCCAGGAGTTTGAGACCAGCCTGGGCAATACAGAGGACCCTGTTTCTACCAAAAAAAAAAAAATTATTATTATTAGCTGGATGTGGTGGCACATACCTATAGTCCCAGCTACTTGAGAGGCTGAGCCAGGAGGATAACTTGAACACAGTAGTTTGAGGTTACAGTGAATCATAATTGTGTCACTGCACTCTAGGCTGGGTAACCCTATCTCAAAAAACAAACAAACAAACAAACAAAAAAACAAAACTGTGCATATAATGCACTTCCAATCCTTACCTGTGTCTCCTGACGTAAACTGGTATCTTCACATTCTTTCTCAATTTCTTCCTTACTTGGAGTCTTAGATATAAACTTGTTTTTGTTTACAGATTCTTCCACCAGGTTTTTTTCTGATTCTTTCATTATTTCCAGGGTCTCTTGAGTAGTGTTGCTGTTAGACATGTTCTTCAACAGAATACAGTGGCCTCTATGGACTCCTAAAGAAACATCAAAGGCATTAAGCAGGAGGTGTGTACCCATACTTAACAAACACACAAGACTTGTACTTCACACAGGTACATTTTTTCCAGCAGCCTTCCTATAGCCCAGAAAAGAGTTCTTCAATAAATGCTGTTCCTGGGTTCATTTCTTAAAAAAAGAAAAAAGCTTTATTGAGGTAAAACTGACATACAGTAAACTACATATATTTAAAATGTATAATTTTATATTATGACACATGCATTCACCTGTGAAACCATGACCCCAATCAAGACAGTGAGCGCATTCATCATGCCCCAAAGTTTTCTCATGTCCCTTTATAATCTCTTCCTCCCTTCCCCACAACCCCCAGCCAACTACTGATCTGTTATGTCACTACAGATTAGTCTGCATTTTCTAGAATTTTATATAAATGGAATCAATCATATACTGTCTGGAATCTTTCACTCAGCATAATTATTTTGAGATTCATCAGGATTCAGTTCTAAAGTACTATGAGCCCTTCGGGCACTTTCTTTTCTCCCCTTGTTTCATACAGAAAATTTCTCACATTTCTAGCTCATTCCCTTCACCCACTAGATTCTCTCCAGAAAGAACTATAAAGCTCCTATTGACAACTAGAAAGGAATACTCTCCTTTCCCAAGGAAGAACTTTCACAGCTACCACAAACCCACAACACTGTTATCAACTTCAAGCTACTCCCCCTTCCAAAAAAAGTAAAATCAGACAATGCTTAGTTGTAGAATCTACAGAATTATATATATACATATATATATATATAGAGAGAGAGAGAGAGAGAGAGTCTCACTCTCTCACCTAGGCTGGGGTGCAGTGGCACAATCATAGCTCACTGCAACCTTGAACTTCTAGACTCAAGCAATCTTCTCATCTTTGCCTCCCAACTAACTAGGAATACAGGAATGTGCCTGGCTAATTTTTAAGATTTTTTTTTTTGGTAGAGATAGGGTCTTGGTATATTGCCCAGACTGATCTTGAACTTCTGGACTCAAGTGATCCTCCCGCCTTGGCCTCCCAAAGTGTTGGGATTACAGGTGTGAGCCATTGCATCCAACCTTAAATTCTTTCCTTTATCTTAAGCAAGCTGAAAAAGCAAGAGAACTTTGTAGACATCTGTCCTTCAGAAAGATTGGGTCTCTCCCTGGAGGAGGAATCTTTACTTTGCTATACACTATTTGGATTTGGTCAATCTACTGTCTCCTAGTGATCTATAGTGCAGGGATGGCTGCTTCTTTATCACTTACTATCACTACCTGGGAAATCCTGTAATGAAGCCAACACAGTTCTTCCACCACACACTAAGAAACAGAAGTTGATACTCTATACAGATTCATGTCCTCAATTGCCCAAGTCAAACATGTTTAGCTCCAACAATAGTTTGCAGAGGTTTCTCCGTATACATTACTGACTGTACTTCAACCCTAAAGATTTCTTTCCTTCCTTTAAAAGATAAGACTGGAAATTCTCCCAGATATCACATCTATTCTTAGATTTGACCTCCCATAATCTTCCCCTATTCCCCAAAGAACTCATTTCTGTAATTTTCTGAAAGGCCTGCTAGCCTCTGGGAAAACGGGAACAGGATTATCTCACTATTTATGAAATAGTCTTAATTGTTATATAGTTGCTCCCTATAATAAATTATGAACTGCTTCAATCTTGATCCTAAATCAGTCTTAGAGTCACAGAAAAATTAAGTTTACTTCTTTTAATCACATGATAAGCCTTTAGTATTTTTCTCTTTTCCAAGCTTAAATAGCCTCAAATTTCTTTTTTCCACCCAACAAAATTCCTTTGTGTCTCACTTGTCCCTTCCAAAACCAGTCACAAAAAGGAAACAGAATTACAGTTTAATTAATATCCATCTCCCAGCGCCTGGGGATAAGGTCTCCTTCCCTGATCATGTGTCCTTAGCCTGAGCAATTCACCTTCCTTGGCCTCCCAAAGTGCTCTCATCGTAGGTGTGAGCCACCATTCCCAGCCAACTGACTAAATTCTTAAAAGTGGGTAGTTAAATCAGTCTGTTTTATGGGTATCTGTAAGAACCTAAATTTTAAGTCTTTCTGTTTCTCCAGTGAATGAAGCCATGTGACTCCGTAAAGCTTGAGGTTGAATATATGACCATATTCTACAGATGAAAAATCATTTTTTGTTTGCATTCATGGTGTTTTGGCTGAGAACAGTGCTTGGACACTGAAATTATTCCAGGTATCCAGATAGTTGATCTTTTCCTAACCCAATGTGAAGGAGAGCTGCAAAGTTGTCATTCTGATTTGAGGAAAATATACCCATTTGGTAATTAAGGCCCATCCTTGAAAAAGAAATAAACCACTGCTGTTCCTTGCACTGTGGCTTAGGCCTGTAATCCTAGCACTTTGGGAGGCCAAAGCAGATGGATCACTTAAACTCAGGAATTTGAGGCCAGCCGGGGCAACACGGCAAAACCCTGTCTCTAAAAGTAATAGAAAAATTAGGCTGGGTGCAATGGCTCACACCTGTGATCTCAGCACTTCGGGAGGCCAAGGTGGGCAGATCACCTGAGGTCAGGAGTTCTAGACAAGCCTGAGAAACATGGCAAACCCCATCTCTACCAAAACTACAAAAAATTAGCCGGGCCTGTGGTCCTAGCTACTTAGGAGGCTGAGGTGGGAGGATGGCTTGAGCCTGGGAGGCAGACATTACAGTGAGTAGAGATCATTCCACTGTATGCCAGTTTGGACAACAGAGTGAGACCTGTCTCAAAAAAAATTAGTCAGTCATTCTACTGAGACCACCGGCCTCTTGAAGAGCTGTATAAAACAAAGTATTCTTACACTAAGAAAAAGGAAGCAGCAGAGGGAAGGGCAGCTCCCCAGATTTCCCTGTTCTTCCACACTCATTAATCTAACCCAGATTTCTTTTGGCACTTGTCTTCCCTTAAGGAGACATGATCAGGGAAGGAGAACTTATCTCCAAGCCCTGGGAGATGGATATTAATTAGATAAACCAATTGTGGTAATTCTGTTTCCTTTTTGTGACTGGTTTTGGAAGGGACAAGTGAGACACAAAGGAACTTTGTTGGGTGGAAAAGGTTTCCTACTTTATTTAAAGCCACTGGAAGAAACAGTTATCTCCTACCAAAGGTGATCTTGTATGCAGATGATACCTGGACTGTGGCAGCACCCTGCTGACACATGGAAGATGGGGGAGCAGAGAAAATAAGGCTGCACTCATCCTTTTTTTTTTTTTTGAGACAGAGTCTCACCATATCGTCCAGGGGTTAGAGTGCAGTGGTGCAATCTTGGGTTACTGCAACCTCCGCCTCCCAGGTTCAAGTGATTCTCCTGCCTCATCCTCCTGGGTAGCTGGGATTACAGGGTTGCACCACCACACCCAGCTAATTTTTTTTTTTTTTTTTTAAGATGAAGTCTCACTTTGTTGCCCAGGTTGGAGTGCAGTGGTGCAATCTCAGCTCACTGCAAACTCCGCCTCCCAGATTCAAGTGACTCTCCTATCTCAGCCTCCTGAGTAGCTGGGATTATAGGCGTGCATCACCACACTTGGCTAATTTTTATATTTTTAGTAGTAGAGATGGCGTTTTGCCATGTTGGCCAGGCTGGTCTTGAACTCCTGACCTCAGGTGATCTATCCACATCAGCCTCCCAAAATGTTGGGATTACAGGCATGAGCCATTGCACCCAGCCTGGTCTTAAACTCCTGACCTCAGGTGATCTGCCTGCCTCAGCCTCACAAAGTGCTGGGATTACAGACATGAACCACCTCACCCAGGGTTTTTCTTAGACAGGGTCTCAATCTGTCACCTAGGCTGGAGTGCACTGGCATAATCACAGCTCACTGCAGCCTCAACCTCTGGGACGCAGGTGATCCATCCACCTTATCCTTCTGAGTAGCTGGGATTACAGGCACCCACTGCCATGCACAGCTAATTTTTGTATTTGTAGTAGAGATAAGGTTTTGCCATGTCACCCAGGCTGCTCTCGAGCACGTGGGCTCAAGGAATCCACCTGCCTTACCTCCCAAAGTGCTAGGATTAAAGCCACCATGCCTGGCTGGAGCCTGCATCCTATATGCTGTGATTAGACAATAATTAGTCAATCGGGACCCTCCTTATCTCTGGGCTTCCTGATATGTGAAGTCATAAATCCTCTTATCATTTAAGCTATTCTGAGTTGAGTTTTTATAGCAGAATCTTGAGAGATAGTAAAAAAAAAAAAAAAAAAAAAGTATATTAAGAGAGGAATGGATCAGGCGCTCACACCTGTAATCCCAGTACTTTGGGAGGCTGAGACCAGCCTGGCCAGCATACTGAAACCCCATCTCTACTAAAAAATACCAAAAAATTATTAGCTACATGTGGTGGCAGGCACCTGTCATCCCAGCTACTCAGGAGGCTGAGGCAGGAGAACTGCTTGAACCCGAGGCAGAAGTTGCAGTGAGCCGGGATCACACCATTGCGCTCTAGCCTGAGCAACAGAGTGAGAGTCCGTCTCTTAAAAAAAAGAGGAAAAAAAATAAAAGAGAGAGGAATGGCTGGGCAAGGTGGCTCATGCCTGTAATCCTAGCACTTTGGGAGGCCACGGCAGATGCTTCTTGTGAGGTCAGGAGTTCGAGACCAGCCTGGCTTATATGGTGAAACCCCGTCTGTATAAAAATTTGCCAGGCGTGGTGGTGCCCATGTGTAATCCCAGCTATTTGGGAGGCTGAGAAAAGAGAATCACTAGAACCCAGGAGACGGAGGTTGCAGTGAGCCAAGATCGCAACATTGCACTCTAGCCTGGGCGACAGGGAGAGACACTGCCTGAAAAAAAAAAAAAAAGAGAGAGAGCAAGGAACTACCTGGACCAGACAGAGAAGCCCAGCTCTTAAAATGATCCTATTACATCTGTATTATTACTATAATCACCATTTTACAGACAAGTAAACTGAGGCACAGAGACATTAAATAGTTCACTTAAAAGGGCACACAACTGGTATATGGCA